CCTGCAACCCAGGTATGTGCCCTTGACAGGGAATTGAATCTGTGACCCTCTTGTGCAAGGGCTGATGTTCTTCTAATCACTGAACAACATAGGCCAGGGCTGATTTTTTGTTTTTTAAGAGAGAGAAGAAGGGAGAGGGAGGGAAAAGAGAAAAAGAGAAACATCAAGCCCTAACCTGGTTATGTGCCCTGACTAGGAATTAAACCAGAGCATGGGATAATATTCAACCAACTGAGCCACATTGGCCAGGGCTATCCTATTGTTTTTTTCTCAATCATTTAGTTAAGAACATAATCATTATATGTCCTGCATTATGCTAGATGCTGGCAATTATCTTCCTAAGGTCTGTTATCATTTTACACAGTATAGTCAAGTCCTAAATGAACAGTAAGTCTTAGTATTCTATATATATACATACATATATATACATATATACATATATACATATATACATATATACATATATACATATATATATATATATATATATATATATATATATATATATATAAATAATACCTTTATTGTTTTCAGAGAGAGGGAAGGAGAGGAAGAGAGAGGGATAGAAACATCAATGATGAGAGGGTCACTGAGTAGCTGCCTCCTGCACACCCCCTAGTGAGGATCGAGCCCGAAACCCTGGCATGTGCCCTGACCAGGAATTGAACAGTGATCTCCTGGATCATAGGTCGATGCTCAACTGCTGAGCCATGCCAGCTGGATAAAAATGTATTATAATTTTAAATATTCACTGTAATACACCAATAAAAAGTAGCTTTGATTTAAAAATTTAGAAATAAGTGTAAACAGTTGTTGCACGGGTGAGTGTGCCCATAATTTGAGTTCTTATGTGGTAGGGCATATTCTTACCTCTATAGAACTGGATTGTTCTTTCCAGAAGCCACTAGCTAGAGAAGTGTGACTTACTTTACTTAAATGTGATGTAAGAGGGATAGATTATACTTCCTCTGTATCATGAAGCTGTAGATCCTATTATGTTTCTTCATCAGTTGAGGCAATGTTACTCTGAATATATTACTAATTGGTGACTATACCTCATTGTCAACAACTTTAGTAAATTTATGTGATACTCAAACCCTACTGACTGTCCTTAGAGTCTATATCTATGTATCTTGAGGTAAGGTTGTCTTACAGCCCTGGATGGTGTGGCTGAGTTTGTTGGAATGTTGTCCTGTACACCAGAAGGTGGCAGGTTTGATTCCTGGTCAGGACACATACCCAGATTGTGGGTTTGATCCCAGATCAGGGAGTGTGTGGGAAGCAACTGATGGATGTTTCTCTCTCACACTGATTCTCTTGCTCCCTCCCTCTCTCTCTAAAATACCAATAAAAAGCATCCGATACTTAAAAAAGAAAAAAATGATTGTCTTCCAATTAGGTCCTCTGTTAGTTCTCTCATTTGTTTACTTTACTTAATGAATATTTACTGAGCACCAATAAATGCAAGATATGTAAGAGATGAGTTAGAAATCACGAAAGAAAAAAAGAAGAAGAGAGAGATCAATTCTGAACAGGATAACCTCCGTTTGTTTTAACTATGAAGAGGTCTGAAAAATGAGTGGAATTACAAGCACAGAAGGCAGAAAAAGCATGAGGGGCTCAGGGAACAATATGAACCAAGGCAGGAACACATAAGATCTATATACTGAATGTAAGTAACAGATACGAATATCATTGGGCATAGTTGCAGAAAGTGAAGTTGAGAAGGCTAGCAGAGGTCAGCCAACAGAAGACCTAGAAGGAAGTGGGAAAACTTTGGACTTTATCCAGTAAGTTTCCAATCAGAGGAGAGACATAATTACATTTGTTGGAAAAATAACTGGTGGCAAAATGGGTTAGAGAAGCAACCTATTTTGAGAAAAATGAGAAAGGAACACTAGATTATTATTGTTTTAGTTTTGGTAGAAACTGATAAGAACTTGAACAAAAGCAAGAATAATAGGAATAGAAAATAATAGGAGAAACTCTGAGGACATAGAACTGATAGGCTAGATTGATTTAATATAGAAGAAAGTGAGGAAAACCTAAGAAATTAAGTTTCTAATTGTAAAATAATAGGGAATATATATATATTTGTCTCTGGCCCCATGTTTCTGACATAGAGCTTCTAAATTCCTTGGAACTTCCTGGGTAATAGGAGTCTCTTTCATTTTAATGAGGTGACTCTTGGTGGGCTCCTGGATAGGGGCTGGTCACCAGAAAGACAAAGCCATGATTAGAAGGTTGGAACTTCCAGCCCCACCCTACATTCTCTGGAGAGGAGAGATGGGCTGGAAATTGAGTTAATAATTGATCATGTCTACATGATCCCCAACCTATGGGATTTGGAAAGTGTTCAGGTTGTTGAACACATCTGTGTGCTGGGAGGGTGGCACATCTCAACTGCACAAGGAAAGAAAGAAGCTCCTGTGCTTGGGACCCTTCTGGACCTCACTCTATATACCTCATCACCTGGCTGTTCATCTGTATCCTTTATAACATCCCTTATACATAATAAACCGGGAAACAAATAAGTGTTTCCCTGAGTTCCGTGAGCTGTTCAAACAAATTATCAAACCCGAGGAAGGTTGTGGGAACCTTGATTTATAGCTGGTAGGTCAGAAATACTGGGGTCAACCTAGTGGAAGTTAGCCCTTAACGTGTGGAATCTACTGCTTACTCTAGGTAGACAGTGTTAGAATGGAACTGAATTCTAAGACACCCAGGCTATGAAGAAGTAACTGGTGTGGGAAAAATCCACATATCTGGGGTCAGAAGTATTTTGAGTGTAAGGGAGAAACAGTGTTTTTCCATTCGCTAGGTTTTTTGGAAACAGGAAAAGTAGGCTTGGGAAGAACACTCAGAATATATCAAACAAGCAGCTGGAAGTTCGAGTCCAGCACAGGAGAGAGGCTCTAATGAAGATAAAGATTTGCAGTCATCGGTATTGGGCAGTAGATGAGATCATTCAGGAATAGAGGATAAGCTGTGAAGAGGGCAGGGGAAAAAGGCTCAAGGAAAACTCATATGTAAAGGTTGGGTAGGAAAAAGGAGAGAGTATGAATGAGACTGGGAGATTATTAGTAATGACGTTTGGGAGTACAAGATCTCGAGAGTGGTAAAGGTAGAGTCAGATTTCCAGGATGAGAACCATCACCCATTTTGGTGGTAGGAGAAAGAGAATAGAGCCATGAATCGAAAGGCTGAAGGAAGGCCTTCTTTGGAAGCAGCGGTAGAGGGGGAGCAGGAAAATACAGGCCAGAGTGTGTGGATGAAGACCTAAGCAAAGCATTTTCTTTATAACAAATAAACAACAAACTAGCTTCTAACTACAGAAAGAAAAAACCAGTTTGGGAGCATTTCTTATCTTTTAAAATATGCAAGAGAGAGTGATAAAGACTAAAGCAGGATTCTGAAAAAGGTCAAGGGGAAAAAAAAATCAACAGCTCAAGTACAATAGCTACTTCACCATGGGATGATAAAAAGTTGTTTTGATAGAACAATTCCTTGGAAGGAATTCAAAACAGGTGTACCATATGATCTATGTGGAGTTTTAAAAAGTTATAAAATAGTTCAAGTATGCATGAAATATTATAATAGTGGAATTGCTTTATATTCATAATTGTCCCTCCTAGATTCACTTTTCTCTTGAATTTTTATGTTATTACCTGACGGCTGAATGTATTCTGTACGTGCATCCAGTAATCTTCAACTGGATCATAACAGTATATTGCCTTGGTCAGTCCACCAGCAACATATATCAGGTTGTTTAAGGATACAGCTGTTATGCACCTCTTGGCAATTGGGATAGCTGCACGAAGTAGCCAAGAATTGGTTTCTGGATCATAAGATTGAACCTAATAATATATAGAAATATTTAATTAAAATTTCTAAACAAAGTGTAGATTTGCTTAATAAAAAGCTTATCAACATATAGAAACATAATTAAAAATCAAGTCCCATTAATTCACAGAATTAAGGGAGGTTAGCCTGATAGTCACTGTCTAAATTACGAAATTCTCAAAAGAAATGTAAATTTATTATTATCAAGCAGAATAAAGTAACAAACAGAGATTGCTTCTGGGAAGAATGGCTACCAAGTTTGCTTTACTTATTTCCATTAAAATTAAGTTTAGATTTTTAAAAAATTGTGTTATATAGCATTAATCTGAATATAATTTCTGTACACTTTTAGGTATACCTTTCTTCAAAAGAACACAAGTAAATCTCAATTCAGAATACTTTGGATTATCACAAATTCTGAATTAATGAACTTATTAGGTAACTTTCGACCACACTGTATAAAGTTAATTTAGAAAAAAAATTAATGGACAAAATTCAGTTAACTATTGTTAAACCAATTAGGCAATATATACTTGTTTCCAGAATAAACTTGGTCTTTCCAGAGATGTCAGGGAGACATAAATTCTTTTGTCCTAGGAGTTCAATGAAATGTAGCAACTTTGAACCATCCTTTATTTACATATATTACAGTTTTCCTTTCCTTATCTTTGTTCTAAAAATACTTTTAAAGTATGCAGAAAACAAGACAGTTGCAAGCAGTATAATTAGCTATTGCGTCCTACCCTTTGCTAATTCATTTCTCAACTGTGTTTTGTGTGAATAACTTTCTGATTCTGTTGACTACAGCAGTAAAAGGTTTAAAACTATTTAGTACATGATCTCAACATTGAGATTAGTCTCATTCCAAAAAGATCGAATCATGCTTTTTACAGTACTTTGTTAGATATATTAGGATCTCACTTTACTAACTTGAAATTCAGTATTTTCCCTCAAAAGTATAAAGTACCAAGTTTTAAAAGGCCTCTCACACTAAGGGACCTCACTACCTCCTTGATAAGCCTTCTGTATTTCTCTTCTTGTATATATCATTGGTAATTTCTATAAGGGAACATGGCTTACCTTATCAGAGCAAGTATTATCATCAGGTCCTCCACCAATCACAAACAATTTGCCTACACAGCTAGTCACAGCAGGAGAACTCACTGCTTCCTTAAGGGGAGCAACTTCGGTCCATCGATTTGAAAAGGAATCATAACACTCGACACTGCTAAGTCTGTTCTGCCCATCATAGCCTCCAACAACATATACCTATACATAAAATACATGGGAAAAAATCTTAATTATCAAAAGCCTGCATTCTGAACTAGCCGGATAAAGAATTAAGTCATCTCTCCCCTTTAAAGAGCACTTGATAACTATAATTGCAATATATTTAGCTCAGTTTCTGAAACTTTTAAAAAATTATCACCCTCTTACCACCACCAAGGAGTCTTTTTAGAAATTTTTTTCATAATAGCCCCCTCCAATGAAATTTTAATGCCACAGATAATTGTATGTCTGTTTATATACTGGATATATATCAGCGCTTTATACATGAAACTACAATTTTTCACCCCCTCAAGACCAAATCTTCACCTCCTTAGGGATTATACTACTCAAGCTGAGAATGACATGATTTAGCTTAAATGCTCATATTCATGATGAAAATATTAGATTAAAGCTATGGAACAAAAATATCAGGTAGGGACGACTAGACAGGTCTATGGAGGCTGGGCCTGTCTTGTTCTTCATTTTGGTCCCTACAAGCGCCTAGAAAAGTACCTGCCACATAATGAACTCCATACTATATATTTCAGAGGGCTTTCACATACATTTTCTTTTCACAAATATTAGGAAGATAGGACAAATTAATATCTTTATATGATATTTATATGATAGGTGATTTAATCAACAACCATTTATTAAATGACTTATATGCAAATAGTCCATTAAACATCATGAGACATACAATACTTTCAACTGCGGGAGCTCTCCTGTTTAACATCCACAGTTCCGTTAAAAGACAGTCAGCATCAACTCTTTTCTCCACATCTAAATAACTATTAAGACCTACTGAGTCTTCTTTCATAGTACAGTGGTACCTCGGTTTTCGAATGTAATCCATTCCAGAAGACTGTTCGAAAACCGAGGGATCAACAGCCGACAGCTAGGCCTCAGGATCTTGCCCTCAGCAGAACCACATGCCATGTTCGACTTCCGAGGCATGTTCGAAAACCGAAGCATTGACTTCTGGGTTTATGGCGTTTGTAAACTGAGGTACCACTGTATCTCTGACATCTGTCCCTTCTTTTTGTTTCCCATTGCTACTATCCTTCCTCAGGGTCAATATAATTTCAAACCTCTCAATTAATCTCCTGGTCTCTAAATCACAGATTAATCTTACTAAAACTACCTCATCAACTCATTTTAATAGTTCAACAATGAATGCCTAAGGGTCAAGGCCCAAATGTTATATGTTATCATTCAAAGTCTGTCCACAATTTATCTTTCTGTGTTCCTCCAAGTTTCCACAGCAGCCACTGCCATTTCTATCTTGCTTTTCTCACATTATGTTAAAAATGATGTTGGTGGGTTTGTTCTCCTAACACCATGTAGCTCAGAAAGGTTCAGTAACTTAAGGTTATGCAGTTAGAAGAGGTATGGGAACTGTTGTACAGTGAGGCAGTTAGGACACAGGCTTTGAAGTCAGGAGAGGCAGCCAGGCAATGTGAGACCTTGGGCAATTTATCCTCTCAGACTCAGTCCTAAATTCTTTTAAAAAAAATTTTAAAATTGATTTTAGGGAGAGGAAGGGGGTGGGGGAAAGGAAAAGGGGGGGGGAGAGAGAGAGAGACAGACAGACAGACAGACAGACAGACAGACATCAGTATGTGTGCTGACCAGGGACCAAGCCCACAACCTTGGCACATCAGGATGACAACTAAGCTACCCGACCAGGGCTATCTAATTTCCTCAGCAGGTATAAATTAAAAATATATGCTGTGAGCGTCAAGATAAAAGCCCTCTGCTTAAGAAACCTGAGCTTTTGCCCCTTTATCACTTTATGCATAACCTCGGGCAAGTGACTTGACCTCTCTGGACTCACTTTCTTTAGGAATTGGAAATGTCACAGTCAGTGTTCTCTAAGATTCATTCGTGCGCTAAGATTCTACATTCCAAGCCATCCTAGATTCTTTAACAGGGAGCATTTATAAATTTAAATAATTTTATAGGTTTGAACTCAGCCTATATTGTACTTTTTAGGACAACAGGTTCCATGGATTGAGTATTTGCTGTGTAAGGTAGGAAGAATTCCTTTTATTTCTTGATTAAGTGATTCTAAGTTTTGGGTACCTTCAAGTTAAATATCAATTTGTGAAAAAAATTTGTGATCACCAATCCATATATAGTATTTGAGACATAATCATTTTCATTATCTTTGTATGTCCAGACTAAATAATTATAATATTTTTAATCAGATCTCATCTCTTTCCATTACCTTATTTTATTGATTTCAGAGAGAGGAAGGGTGAGGGAGAGAGAGAGAAACATCAATGAGAGAGTCACTGATTGGCTGCCTCCTGAATGCCCCCCACTGGGGATCCAGTCTGAAATCTGGGCATGTGCCCTGACAGGGAATCGAATCGTGATCTCCTGGATCACAGGTTCATGCTAAACCACTGAGCCATGATGGCTGGGCTCTAATCCCTTATTTTAGCTGTCCCTTTTTAGTAATATTATGTCATTCTTGAGGCATAGCTACCAAAACTATATATAATATAGTAGGTACTGCCAAACTAGTGGTTTTATAAAATATTCTATTAATATTTTCTTTCCATTACATCTATCTCAAGGTCCTCATTATTTCACTGACCTTTTGATAGCAGTACCACACTAGATCAATATCCTTAAGAATTTAAAAAAATTCCTTAGGAATTAACACCTGCTTTCCAACTGTGCTTTGAGAAGCTCTAGCATTCTACCGTAGAGACATATTAAGGAGCCTCTGTGAGGATGGGAGAGGGGAGGAGGACTGATGCGAGGTTGGTGGGAAGGGTTCCTGGTACCATCTCTGTTTCAAATTAGAGCAGCTCTATTTCCTCATTGGTAGCTCTAAAATATCTCCGCAGGAGGGCCTAAGATGTAGCAATCTTTTTAGAAAGGGGTACTAAGGGACCAGTCAAAAATACATGTGCAAGCAAGTATGCTGCTTTTACTTAGCTTGTTCAATAATTTGAGGTGGATTTGAAGGAGCTGATAAAGAGGGTGGTAGGGAAAAGCCAAAGGGCCCAAGTTAGCTGTTGGTATAACAGTTGTATTTTTATCTGTTTTATGGAATGGATTTTTATATTAGATTTAACTTTAAAAAGGAGGGTATAGTTGCTTTTTAAAGAGTTTGGAAATTACTAGTCCACAAGTGATTCTCAAGTTTCTAAGAACAGCAAACAGTTCAGAAACAAATTTTTTTATATATATATATATATATATACACACACACACACATATATATAATTACAATATATATTACATATTATACATTATATATATTACATATAATATAATGTACCATATATATACACATACATGTATATGTATATATATACATATATATGTGCATATATATACACACATATATGTGTATATATATAATCCTCACTTGACATTTTTTCCATTGCTTTTCAGAGAGAGTGGAAGAGGAAGAGAGAGAGAAAGAGAGAGACACACTGGTTGCCTCCTGCACACACCCCGACTGAGGCCTGGGGATTGAGTCTGCAGCTGGAATCAAACCCAGGACCCTTCAGTCTGAGAGCTGACGCTCTAACCGCTGAGCCAAACCAGCTAGGGCCAAATTACATATTTTTTATATTATTTCTTAGCTGCAGTCAATAACAAGTTTTCTTTAAAATATGTTGGTGAGTTTATCTTAACACTTATTTTAAATTTGTTTTGTCCCTACTTGTACAAATAAAAAAGATAAAATAACATCACTCTGGATAAATATATCTCTGCCTGACTGCCAAAGTCAGTAAAAGGAAAAAGACTGTTTGGATTAGACATTGGCCTGTTTTTGTACTTGATGCAACGCCTTTATTTTCCAATGCTTCTTAGGCATTCAGACTCCAATGGTGCATGAAAAGAGAAATGTGCTGTACTGCCACGAATTCCAAATTGGGAGAACAAAATATCCATTCAAAAGTACAGTGTCAAATTGTTTATATCTTCAGTTTATCTACTGAAGTTAGAAATGGAAGGAAATACAATTTGAATCCAAAAAACCCAGAGGGTGAGTAAAATGAAGGATTCAGCTGTGGTATTTATTTTGGAAATGTACCAGCAATAGTAATAAAAAGTGGTTTCTCTTACTTTACCAAGGAGGACAGCCATTTTGTGACGCCATCTGCCTTTGTTTAGAGAAGCAACTCTGATCCAAATATTTAACTGTGAATTATAAATCCAGACATCACGGCCATTGATTCTTCCACCTTTAAATGCAAAACAATGCACATACAATAATATATGTATCTATCACCAAGGGATCTATGCCCAAGGCATAGATAATAAAAACAAGGGATTTATCATGCAGTCCAAGAATTTGAGAATTCAGTTCAATAAATGAAACAAGGACCCTCTTAAAGCTTTATGAAAACAGTTCTACAGAACAGATTTTAACTTTGTCACTTGTTATCTTGAGAAATAATTACAGGCCTCAAATAAATAAAATGCAGACTATGAATTTTACAAATGTATACAGATTGTTAATTTAGGAGTCGGCCATCAGAAGCACCCAAACAACAGAATTATTTTTAGAAGATTTGAAAAAAAATTACCAATTTTTTAAAAAACATACCACTGTACAAAATAAAGTACATGCTGTTATATTGTTCAATGTGTAGTAATATAGTAATCTGCAAAGCTGGTACAATTACTTAACCAATTAACAGACTTTGGACCATAGATACTGTAGTTACAGCAAAAAATCACCCTTGGTTTTATCTGTTGTATAAACTGATCTGCCTGAAGTGGGCATATCCAATGTCATTGTTTTCTTTTGAGACACTGTTATAATTTAAGACAGCCAAGCTATGTTCAAATTAAAAGTAGCTACTATAGTAATTCTTTATTTACCTGAAACAAGAATGTCATTCCTTAGGGCACAGACCGCATACTCTGATTTGGTAAATTCTGGAAGCTTAGCCAAGGACTTCCACTCTCCTGTCACAGGATCATAGCACTCGGTGTACGGAAGATTAAATCCTCCAACTCGTTCACAGCCGCCAACAACAACTATCACCTCAGAGTAGCCAGTTGACCTAAAATCATTATTATAAGGATGAATAAGCAATACATTAAAATACACCCAAGATCCTTTAAGACCCTAAAAACATGCCATTATCACAAAGAAGGTAGAACAGTACTATAAACAGCTAAGCTTATTCTTTATGCATGTGCCAAATAATATAGCTACCAATTACTTTGAGAACATTTACAAGGGATTTAGTGATATCATTTTCCCACAGAAAATTCCTGAATATTTTTTTCTTTGAGTTTGCCTTAAAACTTGTAAATCAGTCCAAAAATCCTACGTAACAACTGGAACTCTGGTAATATTAAGGATGACTTTCAAATGAAGTTTTGCAGCAATTCAGATATGCATAACCACACGAGGTAAGATGATGCACTTTTTCTAAATGTAGGAAAATGGTGCTTTTCTATCAGGTTGCTAGTTCTAAAAAAACTACTTCATAGTATAATCTTATACCCTGTAAAGGAGTACAGTTATGCGCTACATAATGCCGTCATTTTGGTTAACAACAGACTGCGGATAGAAGGGTGGTCTCCTAAGATTATAATGGAGCTGAAAAATTCCTATCACCTAATGGCATTGTAGCCATCATAAAGTTGTAGTGCAATGCATTACTCATGTGTTTGTGGTGGTGCTGGTGCAAATAAACTGCGGGTGTAAAAGTATAGCGTGTAGACTTATTACAATACATAATACATGATAATGATAATAAATGACTATGTTTATATACTTACTATACTATACTCTTAATCACTGTTTTAGAGTGTACTCCTTCTACTTACAAAAATTTGCTGTAAACCAGTATTCTGTGTTACAGGAACAGCAACCTCATATATTTTGTTTATTGTATCTCTTAATTGTATCATTTTCTCTGTGTTTGATTTCACCTCATGTTGTTTTATACAGTAACATGCCATACAGGTTTGTAGCCTAGGAGCAACAGGCTATACCATACAGCCTAGGTATGCAGCAGGCTATACCATCTAGGTTTGTGTAAGTGCACTCTATGTTGTTTGCACAACTATGAAATCACCTAAAGAGAAATTTCTCAGAATGTATCCCTCTTGTTAAATAACATATGACTGTATATGTACATAAATTATTTTTTAAAATAATTTTTTAAAAGTTAAGTAAATTTAGGTAATCCAACTCAAAATGTTGGGTTGTCACTAAAAATGTTAAAGTTTGTAACAAAGACTGCTAAAAGAAAAAAGCAAGATAAAAGGATGTACATAAGATACAATTAATCCTATATTTAAAAAGTCTGGAAAGAATATACCAAAATGCTAATGATGGTTGTCTCTGATTGTATCAACATAAATTTTCAAATGATAATGAGCATGGACTATTTTTAGAGTGAAAAGTTTTTAAGAGCATTAAGAGAATACCAAGATTTATGTTAAACACTGGCTTCTTTTATTTTGTACTTTAAGACAGAGAGGAAAAACTAAGAGCTTATCCAAGTTTTTTTGTTCATAAGGGTCAATACACAGTTTTGGAATTTTTTTAATTCTTTTTTTTAAATAATATTGATTTCAGAGAGAGGAGAAATTGAATCATCAATGATGATAGTCATTGATCAGCTGCCTCCTACACGCCCCCTGCTGGGGATTGAGCCCAAAACCCAGACACGTGCCCTAACTGGGAATCGAACTGCAATCTCCTGGATCATAGGTTGATGTTCAACCACTGAGCCACGCCGGCTGGGCTAGTTTTGGAATTTTAAAATTACTTGGCTTTGCCCTGGCTGGTGCAGCTTAGTTGGTTGGAGTGTTGTCCTGTGCACTGAAAGGTTGCTTGTTTGATCCTCGGTCAGGGCACATACAAGTATCAACCAATAAATGCATAAGTGGATGAAGCAACAAATCAGTATATTTCTCTCTCAAATCAATTAATAAAAATTTTTTAAAAATTATGAGATATAGTTTTCACTTTCCAAAGTAGTAAAGATTTACAAAAACTAATAATATGCAATGGAGGAATAGACACTCATATTTTTGGTTGAAGGATAGCTTAGAAGGCAATTTTATACAGTATTTACCAAAATTAAAAATGCACATATCCTACGAGTGAGCAATTCTATTTCTAGTAATTTAAGTTGTAAATTATCAGTGTATGCAGACATATGCACAAGAATATTTACTGAGCATTCTTGGCAAAAATCTAGAAACAACCTAAATGTCCATCATTAAGAGATGAATCAAATAAATTATGGTATCTATAAATGGGGTACTATACGTCTTTAAAAAATGATTTGGAAACATCCATAACAAAAAGTAAAAAACTGAAATAAAATAGTCTTTTAGGTGGTTATGTAGAACAATCTCCAAGATACTTTTAAGTTATAACAATGAAGTGCAAAACTGTAGTACCCTACTCTCTGTATAAACAAAAGTGGGGAGGTATACGGGTGCTAACATGCACACACGTACACATAGATACACACTTTTATATGCAAAGGATATTTCTAAAAAGAGTTTAAAAATGTAGTAACAGAGGTATCCTTTGGGGATAACTGATATACCAAAGGTCAGGTACAGGAACAATTACAATATATACTTTTATATAAAAATGTTTGAGTTCAAAATAACAATGAATTAACATGTATAAAAATGGGAAACCATGCATCCTATAATATAGTAGAACAATATCCTTAACAGGGATTAGAACAAAAATTCAGAACAAAAAATTTTAGCCTTAGCTCTGCCACTAAGTAACTCTGTGACAAGGGCAAGGTTGGTTCATTTACCTATGCCTTAGTTATATCACCTATAAAATAAGGAATGAAGGTATTTATAAATCTTAAAACACTATTTTTTTTTTTTTTTTTTACATCCACTATTATTTTGTATTAGTTTCAGGTGTACAGCGTAGTGATTAGATAATCATATACTTCACAAACTGTTCCCCTTGATAGTTCCAGTATCCACCTGGTACCATACCTGTTATTTACAATATTGACTATATTCCCTATGCTGTAGTTACAAAATAGTTACCAATTTGTACTTAATTCCTTCACCTTTTTTACCCAGTCACCCAGCTGCTCTCCCTTCTGGCAACCATGAGTCTATTCTCTGTATCTATGAATCTGTTTCAGTTAAAACACTATTTCTTAAAAAAACAGAAAACAAAATCCTTTATCTTAGTTTTCTCAACTGGTTTCTAATAGGAACTTGCACCTTGTTCTCATTGTGGCAGTTACAGTCCTATATTCATTATATAGTAACTGTTTATTAGAAAGAGGCAGTAGCTTATTAAATCTTAGCTATCTATTGTTACATAGAGTATGGCAAAGAAGATCAATTTTTTTTCCATAGATACGAACGATTTATGCTTGAAATGAACCATTTGATAGCAAGTATTTCTGCTTCTTAAATCACATTTCCTATCCTGTAAAAGTACAGCATAAATTTAAAATGTATTTTGATTATTTTCTTCATGAAACCAGCAATAATTTTTATTAAGCATTTTGTGTCAAATGCTAGATTATGCATTCTTTCATATGGTATCTCCAATATTCACAACAATCTAGCGAGGTAGGTGATAGTATGCTCATTTTACAGATGAGAAAACTGATACACAGTGAAGTTCAAGTGTCTTGCCCAAGGTCATGGAATCAACTAGTATAGAGCCAGATTCTAATCCAGGACTGCCTGTTTCTGAAGCCAGTACTCATCATGATGCTTGCACTTGGTGTTTATTAAAAATAATACTATGTATTAGTATAGAGATTTAAAGTTACATAACATATACTATTAAAAAGATAACCACTGTTCCTAAGCTTTGTTCCTTCTGTAATTGGTCTCCACTGTTTTCTCTCTGTGCATCCAAGGGTTTACAACTAGCAGTGAAGATTATCAAAACTTTCATGCTCTTGGGTGCACTTTTGGGTTTTCTCTGTCATTTAAGAGACATGTAGGTATATATAGGTAGAATATCCAGTATGTGTTGAGCTCTTGAGGATACTTGGCACAGGATACACACCAAAGAAACAATGGCTGATGAGTACAACCGAACTGTTCAGTGGTGGAAACTGACTGTCATCACCCTAATCTGGAGTTAATCTTTGCATTGCTAATGGTAAGACAACCAGATAGCCCGTGCCTCCTAATATGATACATTACCTAGGATGAACTCTAGTCAGAAATATTTAACTGGTCTCCAGTAAGCTGAAGCTTGCAGAGCCAACTTCCAGTTTCCAGAAACATAACTAAACACAGTTAAGTGATACCATAAAGAAACAACCAGACTAATACAGAAGGTGGAATATTTTTCTGGACAACTTGCCCATCAACAAATCAGAATCATGAAAAACAAATTGTTTTGAAATAAGAGAGACTTCATGGAAGTAACCAGATGCAATAAGTGATCCTGGATTAGATCCAGGTTCATTAAAGAACAGTTTGGGAAAGTATTATTATGAATTGGGTAGAAGATAATATTAAAGAATTACTAACTTTAAGTGTGATATCATTTTGCTTGTTTTTTTCCAAGTAAAAATGCATATATATATATATGTGTGTGTGTGTGTGTGTGTATATTTATAAATTAAAAAAAAAAGTAACATTGCCTGAATGGATGAAAAAGTATGGGCTGGAGATATATGTTTGATAGTCAATAGCATTCATGGTAATTTAAACCATGACAGTAGATGAGATCACCTAGGAAAGTGTATAAGGCAAGAAAAAGAGATGTGAACCAAAGGTACTAGCAACGTTTACAAGACTAGATATAGAATCATCAAATTGGAAAAGAGCAGCTGGAGAGGTAAGAGGACCATGAGGAAAATGGTACTCCATAAGCTAAAGGAGGAATTTCAAGAGGGATTAAAGCAATTAATAATGTTAAACCCTAAAGAGAGATCAAGCTGGATAAAGACTGAAAAGAGGTATCTAAAAAAATAACAAACAGAGGTCAGTGATGACCTGATTGAGAGGAGTTTCAGGAGTGACTGGAGCAGAAGTCAGAGGAGTGAGCTGCAGTTGAAGAAGTGGAGACATCACTCCTTTTTCAAAGAAGTTTGGAGTTTCTCAGAAAGATGGGAACCTGTACAAATAATACACATTGTTCAGATAATGAAATTCCTAGTGATTGGTACTAACATGCAGTAACAAGTAAGTGAAAGAGAATATAAGGGACAGAAGTTGATTGCAGAGTTGTAAAATAAAGGATTCCACCTTACATTCCTCATATAATGCTTACTTAAAATAAGTATCTGCTAATTACATTTATAATAGTCTGCAAATTCAATATAACCATAGTTTGGTTTTGTCTATTTGCCTCCTAAAGAAAGGTGACAGGGCAATCTTATACATGGATGTGTTCCACAGTATAAAATGGATTGGTTTCCTTAAAAATTGGAAGTAAATTTTTGTAAATCAAATAATTAAGTGAATCAGGAAAAGTATTTATTTTCTAGCCTAATTACCCTTAGGCTGCAATCTGATTTCACTCAGTTCATATCTTTATAAATAATATTAATAATAAATGACTTATTTTGATTTTATAACATATATCCCTTGGTCCCTATTCTAACCCCATGAAATAGGCAGGATAGGTATTATTAGTACCATTTGACCCCAAAACATTCTTCTGCCAAAAGGGGACTCTGGAAAAATGTGTGATTTTCCTTGGAGGGAATACGGTGTATCCAGAAAAGTTGTGGAATAGCCCTAAAGATGTTTAGCTTTCCTAATACATTTAAGAACCTTGGTCTCTCTATATTCTTAAGCTCAGCCTGAGTCCCTTAACAGTCCTTAAAAAAAGAACAGGAACTTAAAAAAACACAGTACACTTATAGAATAAAATTGTATTTCTTTGTCCTTTGTTAAATGACTAAGAGTCAAATATATTTCTTTTCTATAAAGCAATTACTTTTTAAAACTAGAGTTAGCTGATTTTTTTCAGTTTTATTGAGATATAATTGACATAAGTCAGCTGACTTTGAAGAAAAAAATGTAATCTGACTCTAATACAAGAAATATTACATTCATTTTTTTGTAATAATAGTTACTCAATATTGTATCCAATTTATAAAAAGTCAAGACTGTCAAATACTGGGAGTTTTCTTAAAATGGATCAGACCTACACTATACTTTACAAATAATAAGTTAATAATTCTTAAGCACCTTCTATGCATCACTTTCTATGCTAAGTACCTTAAGGATTACTGCATTTAATAGTTTCAATAACAGAACCTGTAAAATAAGTACTATTTATCATCCTCATTTTACATATGAGGAAAAAGATTAATCTTGCTATATCCCAACTTGTAATTGTAGATTTTAGACATACTATTTCACAATATGCTGAATTTTAACCACATTCCAAAACAATAATAATCAAAATCAAAGTTAAAAATGTGGTTTAGCCCGGCCCATGTGGCTCAGTGGTTGAGAGTCAACCCATGAATCAAGAGGTCACTGATTTGATTCCAGGTCAGGGCACATGCCTGGGTTTTGGGCTCAATACCCAGGAGAGGGGGCAGGAGGCAGCCAATCTATGATTCTCTTTGATCATTGATGTTTCTCTCTCTCTTTCTCCTTTCCTCTCTCTGAAATCAGAAAAACACATTTTTTAAAAATTAANGTTTATATCTCTCTATCCCTTCCCTTCCTCTCTTAAAAAAAAAAATCAATAAAAACATACTTTTAAAAAAATGTGGTTTAATGAACAAACAAAATTGAAAGACTCATATATACAGACAACAGACTCATGGTTGCCAGAGGGGAGGGGTGTTGGGGGCTGGGTAAAAGAGGTGAAGGGATTGAGAAGTACAAACTGGTAGTTACAAAATAGTCATGGGGATATATAGTACAGTACAGGGAATACAGTCAATAATATTGTAATAACTATATATAGTGCCAGGTGGGTAATGGAAATATCAGGGGAACACTCTGTAAGGTATATGATTAGTTAAATCATGTGCCATACACCTGAAATAAATACAAAAAAAATACTGAATGTAAACTGTAATTGAAAAAAAATTAAATATCAAAACAAAAAAAACTGTGGTTTGAGAGCTATACTATAGTAAATTTATAGGAAAGATAAAGGTGGTATGGGAAAATAAAAATAAACACTAGTTTCACAACAATGCGAATATACTGAATACTAGTGAATGGTACACTTAAATATGGTAACGATGGTAACTTTTGTGTTTTTTTTAAATCACAATAAAAAAGCCCCCAACCTTAGCTTTTTTTTTTTTTTTAAAGTATTTTTATTAATTTCAGAGAGGGAGAGGGAGAGAGAGAGAAACATCAATGATGAGAGAGTCATTGATTGGCTGCCTCCTGCACGCCCCCTGCTGGGGATCGAGCGCACAACCCAGGCATGTGCCCTGACAGGGAATCGAACACCGATCTTCTGGATCATAGGTCGATGCTCAATCCCTGAGCCACGCCAGTGGGGCACAACCTTAGCTTTATTATAAAAGTTATTAAAAGGATTCTTTACTGTCATATTTCTCACAATGGCCATTCCTTGTTTATTCACAGTAAAACACAGCTGTCCCTCGGTATTCGTATGGGATTGGTTCCAGGACCCCTGTGGATAGCAAAGCCCATGGATGCTCAAGTCCCTTATATAGTGGTATAGTATTTGCATAAAACCTATATTTGCATATAGGCTATAACAGGGTAGGCCTACAAATCACTTCATTCATGTGGATTCAGTGCAGTGCTTGGTATGCAGCAAATTCAAGTTTTGCTCTTTGGAACTTTCTGGGATTCCTGCCCCCCCCCCCGAATATTTTCAATCTGAGATTGGGTTTCTCATCCGAGGATATGGAAGGCTGAGTGCATAATATTATTCCTTTTATTATTAAGGCATGGAGATTATTTTTCTATAGTTTATGAGTTAAAAATTTATAGGTGTTTTACAGAAATAACCCATTGTAAGAAGATACAAATAATAGTACAATACTTAATTGCATCCCTACCCCTTAACATTTTTCAAATTCTGTATGGTATAATTTTTATAATCAGAAAAAAATTTAAAAATTGAGATTGACTTTAAATATAGTAACTATGGCAATGAGAAAAGATCCAAAGCTTGGGTTTTCTATCTGAGAATCCACTCAATGTACATGAGCTTACTCACTTTACCTCTATATTTCATGTTGTCTGTTATTCTGCCAAAGTCTTTAGCTCCTTTATATCCAAAGACTCTCTGGAAAGAAAACTGGGATGCTTTGGGACCCTATGAAGGCCACGAGAAATAAGTAAAATATGCTGACACATGCACAGTTGCAAAGACCCTTTGCAATACCCTCTGATAGCTGACCAATAACAAAGAATGCTATTGTTGAATCTAGTCTTCACTAGGAAGACATTCTAATGATTTACATAATCCAAAACAAATCTTAAATTATATAAATTTACATGCAGACAATACATATAAATGACTATATTGAAATTACCTTCAGGATGTTTAAAAACATTTTAAAAACAAAAACTTTTGTTAATTATATTGTAGTTAATTTGTAAACAGTCTTCTCACCTTCGTGGCCTAGTCCTTGGGGACATCATTTCATTCCCAAGTATGTGGTACCGTCTTGCTTCATGCAACAATTGATAACACTCAGGAGAATTCTGGATCAATTGGTCCACCTCAACTGTTTGAACGAAGTAGTTGGGATGCAACAGAGGGAGTCTCACATGGTTCAGGAGCTCATGTAATAGTGGTCTTCTCAGATCAACAGCACGATAGACCCAACGCATGACGGCTTCAAAAACCATCTCCTCTTTACTAATAACAAGTTCATCACTACAAATATAATCAATAAGTTCATCTTTGTCAAGCTCAAGAAATTCTTCATGTTGGGACACATCCTCAAAAGTCTGTAATGCAAAGTTCTTGCATTTTGTGAAGAGTGTTTTGAGTGAATGGGTATCAGCAAAGCGCTGGATTCCTAAACAATTACAAGGATCAAGTTGCTCCTCCAAGAACTTGGCACATGCATCACGGAGAACACTGATCTGAAAGAGGCTTGATGTTTCAAAGATATATTGTACATTCTCTGTAGTGATCTTTACCTTCCCAGTATAAACATACTGTAAAAAACATTCCATAGCTTCAGCTAAAATACCGTTGATTTCAACCAGCATTTCGCGGCTTTCCCTGTGGTCATTACAAAACATAGCTCTGAAGTAGCTACTACAGGCTGACAGGACAGCTCTATGGCAAGGAAATTCTTTTCCTTCCACACAAATGATAACATCTGTGAATAAGCGGCTATCTCGGAATTCATTAAATATTTGGAGTATGTTTTCAGCATGGGATGATCCTGAAGAGAAGTCAAAAAATTCATGGCCTGTCAGAGATTTAGGGTCCATTTCAAAAACTTTACGCTTCGTTGCTGGGGAATCACGCACCCCAAGATCCTCTCTGTTTAGTCTTCGTCCCAATATTAGGACCATCGTTACATCAGTTGACTATATAATTGCTGAGAAATGACTGTTAGGGATCTTCTTTACGTGGCTAAAAGTAAAAAACAACAGTGAAAATAAAATTTACTATTCAAATTGCATAATTTCATTTTGATGTAACACTGCAACAAAATCATGTAATATATTTCATGTAGGGTAGAGAGCACTACTTCATTTTAATAAACATTGATAAATAAAAACTGTATTTGCACAATTAGAATCTTGGGTAATTTACAACAGTACTCCTTAAGCCCCCCAGCTGAAAGGATGCCATGTACTTTGTGAATTACGAATAACCTTCTTCTGTCTTCCCTTTTACACAGCTAGGTTTCATCCACTGACTGTAAGGGTAAGTCAGAATACTGTAAGACACAGAATTTGACTACATTCAGAATCCTAATATAAGTGTATATTATCTTAATATAGTGTTGCTAGACAGAAATTCAATTATATCTATCAATGGCCTTTAAAAATATGTATATTGTTTGATGAGCAAGTCCCTTTCTAGCAACCCTAAGGAAATAATGATATGTAGAAAGGTTTATCTACAGAGATATGTTCAATGCTTTTTTAATAAAAAATACTTAACACAACCTAAATGACCTACAATAGGGGATTAGTTAAACCAAAGTACATCTTAAAGATGGAAAACAATCTATGCAGCCATTAAAAATTATGTAGACTATTTTCCCGGCTGATGTGGCTCAGTGGTTGAGTGTTGACCCATGCACCAAGAGGTCACTGGTTCAATTCCCAGTCAGGGCACATGTCTAGATTTCGGGCTCCATCCCTGGTGGGGTGGGGAGGCATGTAGAAGGCAGATGATCGATGTTGATGCATCTATGTTTCTTTCTTTTTATTTTATTTTTTAATGGATTTTGGTAAGCATGCTTCTTTTTTTCTTTTTTTTTTAGAAAGAGTAAGGGAGAGATAGAGAGATAGAAACATAGATGAGAGAGAAGGATCATAGATCGGCTGCCTCCTGCACACCCAGCCCTGGGGATCGAGCCCCAACCAGGGGAGCCTGTGCATGTGCCCTGACTGGGAATCTAACCATGACCTCCTGGTTCCTGGGTCGACACTCATCCACTGAGCCACACCAGCCAGGCGATGCATCAATGTTTCTATCTCTCTCCCCCTTCTCTAAAATCAATAATAAAAAAAAAAATTAAAAATAATTATGTAGCCCTAACCAGTTTTGCTCAGTGTTTAGAGTGTTGGCCCATGGACTGTAGGGTCTCGAGTTCAATTCTGATCAAGGGCGCGTACTTCGGCTGCAGGCACAATCCCTGGCCCTGGCTGGGGCATGTGCGGAGGCAGCCCATCAATGTGTCTCTCTCACATTGATGTTTTTCTCTCTCTCTCCCTTCCACTCTCTCTGAAAAAGCAATGGAAAAAATATCCTTGGGTGAGGATTAAAAAAAAAAATTACGTAGACTATTTAATGACATGGGGAAGTATTAACTAGAGAGTAAATGAAAAGTGGATCATAAAACATATGCTAATAGAAAAATTTATTTACCAGTGCACCTAATGATAGAAAAAAGGAGGCACATATGCCAAAATGTTAAGTGACTCATTTATTTTCTGTTTTTGTCTACTTTCTCCTAAATTTCCACTATAAGTAGGAAATAATTTGTTTTTAAACCTCCCTCAGAAGTGACTATGAATAGGTAACTAATGGACTGAGGCACTGGGCTAGGGCTATCAATTTTCTTGAATTTTAATTTTAAGGTGGTACTCCTACTTGCTTTTCACATCATATATTGATATATGATCCAAAATGTATTTGCAATTGGTTTAAGAGCACTGAGAGTAACTCTCATCTATTCCCATGACCTCAGAATGACATATATAATCACTTCTAAAGACCTCAGCTTCTTCCTAAAATATTTCAAGTCAGATATCCAGGCTTAACTATGGTAGCATGAAGAAGGCTTAATTAACATTATAGAAAACAGTATGGAAGTTTCTCAAAAAATTAAAAATAAAACTATTACTTGACCCAGCAATTCCACTTCTAGGTATTTATCTGAAGAAATCCAAAATACTAATTTGAAAAAATATATGCACCCCTATGTCCACTGCAGCATTATTTACAATAGAATCTCTCTCTTGGATAAAAGGGAAAATTTTCTTACATAAAAAGATACTCTGTGTTCTGTATTTAATAATCTCACTTATTTGGTATTTTGTTATCTGGTATCTTATTGTATTGATAAATTTGGGGGTAGCATATTGAGTGAGTTAAGTATTAATACAAGGCTGATTAAAACTTGAGCACTCTCCCTCCTGGGAACACATCAGGGCCTTTCCTTTCCCCCTCTTCTCCCACAGGCATGCATCTCCTAAACTCTAAGGGACTCCACTGAGACTTGCAACCAAGGGAGCAATGGGGCAGTGGTAGCTCTCATCCTGGGTTAGCCTCCTGAACCTGTCTTCAAGGCTCCTTTTCTCTGACCTTCCAGTGAGCTGACAGCAGCCTAACAGCAGCCGGCCTTGGCTCACTTCTCTCACTGTGACTTTTATTTCTCAGTGGGCCAAAGCAGCCCCACCTAGGCTTGTTTCTTTCCTGTAATATTACTAGAGAGCCAAATCAGATCTACCTAGCTCTCTCTTGCTGCTTCTTCTGTCTTAAGCCCTTCCTTGTTTCACTGTCCCCAGCTTTAATTACTTTCAAAATAAAAACACAGACATACAAAAACCAGAAACTTTATAGGAGTAAGGGTCTGTCTTTTTATATGTTCTATCCCTTATTCTCATAGCTAGTTCCTTAATTATTGACTGACTAGAGGTCTTCCACTTCTTTTACTCTGTAAAACTGAGACTCCTGGATTAGAACAACTATAAAATCACCTGCTATTATAAAGTATTCAACAGCAACAAGATACTTGTTTACTCCTTTGCTTGTAAGAGACTATCTCTTAGATCTGGGCTGTTTCCTTTTGAGCAGCTTTGGCTTGGCTTTTTGGACATCCTCACTTTCTCTGTACTTTCTGAGAACTCTCCCATTAATCAGTCTCTACAAAGCATAATTTATAAACTCTTCCTAGATGACAGGGTGGGTAAATGATTTGCCCAGGAGGCTCTTAGAAATATGAGATGCATTTTGAAGTTTATCTTTTGGGCTTCCAGGTGTAATTTCCTAGCCTCTGTTTTCCTATTTCCCTCAAATCAAATATTTTAACTAGTAATAGAAAAAGCAAGAATCTAAGTTGGTGTCTCTGGGCAAAACAAGAGGAAAATGTTCCAAGGAAATTACTGAAAGTTATATCTAGATAAGTTAGTGGATGCAAGGGTGATCAGGCTGTCATGCCAATGACTGACTGCCAACGCACATGATTTGTCTAGAAAATCTAGTAACTCCTTTTCTCCATTTCTTCAGGAGCTTATTCCTGGAGCTACACTGTCACTTGAAAGGAAGACTTTTCTTAACAGAAGATTCTTTTTTTAAAAAAAAAAAAAGAATAAGATTTTAAAATTGATTTTTAGAGAGGAAGGGAGAGGGAGAGAGAAACATTGATGTGAGAGGGGAACATCAATCAGCTGCCTCCTGCTCATCTCACACTGGGGATTGAGCCTGCAGCCCAGACATGTGCCCTGACTGGGAGTCAAACTGGCAGCCTTTCGGTGCACTGGATGATGCCTGACCAACTGAGCGATACTGGCCAGATTCTTCTTGTTAAGGGTACTCTAGGGTTTATTTCCATCTCTGGAACTCATAAATGTTCATGACCTAGTTTCTGACTGTTAAGTAAATTTAAAATGATGTTATGATTTACGTCCCCCCAAAATGAGTGGTGACAACTTATTTTAGTGTCTCTAAGACTGGAGAAAGATGCTGAAGGGGGACTGAGGATATCAGGAAGGAGTAGAAAGGAGTGGGTAAATACTTTATTCAGTAACAGAAATGACTGTGACACTGGCTTCCTTTATGATCTTGAGGACAGAACAGTTTCTTGTGACTCTTACTGACTTAAGTGACCCCTGGTTAAAGAAAGTAAAATGGGTTAAATCCTCAAATAACAATGTTTCGGTAGTTTATAAGTATTAAAATATAATACCTTTTTAGCATTTGCTTGATCAAAGCCTCAGTCAAAATATTTGTGTTTTAATTTCCACACCTAAGATAAATGGAGAACAGCAACATATAAATCAGAACACTTCATAGATAGTTGGCATTACTTACTAATATGTTGAAAATGTTTTTAGTAGATTTCGGTTTCCAACTGGAGTTTACTTTTGCATAGAAAATAATTACTGAATAACAATTCTTTAAAGCAAATTAATACTTTTATGCTACTTTACATACAAATTAGTTTCATTATGTATCAGCTTCTTTACTGGACAATTATATCCTGCAGTTGAAAGATGAGTAAACACCGGCATCAACAGCAAGCTGATGGTGGTACTGTGATGACAGAAATATATGTCCTGTGATAATTCTGCACCGGGTATTTGAAGAACATCGGTAATTGATATCACATCTGAGTTTGAAGCCATTAAATAATTCTGAGGTGGTCTATCAATATTACCAAAAGCAAACAGTCATGATGTATTATATAACCATGGAATCAATTTCAGAAAATCCCAAGTATTCTGGGTAATTCAGGAAAAAAATTCATTTTAAAGTCCATAGTAATCTAGATTATCCACACAGAATCTCCAAGCTAATAAATAATTATTTTTATTCTTTTAATATATAAATGTATATTTCTTCTGCTTTGTTGAAACTTATGCAGATGCAATACCTATAGAAACTAACTAATTCAGCATAAGTCCTTATTTTTGATGGAAGGGGAGGAGAAGACTGTTTAAGAGAAAATACTAGCACCTTGACCTAGCTGGTTTGGCTCAGTGGTTAGAGCGTCGACCCCCGAACTGAAGGGTCCCCGGTTTGATTCTGGCCAAGGGCATGTACCTCAGCTGCAGGCTCGATCCCCGGCCCCAGTTGGCGTGAAAACGGGAGGCAGCCAATGGATGTGTCTTTCTCACATCCATGTTTCTATCTTTCTCTCTCCCTTCCACTCTCTCTGAAAAGCAATGGAAAAAATATCCTCACGTGAGGATTAAAAAAAATACTAGCACCTTGAACTGTGCACAGAATAGCAATAGTATTTAAACACAAAGGGTTCTGGTTTCTGGCCCATATAGCTATAAATAGAAATCATAAATTCTGAAGACCAAGTTATGGGCTACTGATTTTTTTCCTATAGATATACACAAACACTTATCTCTATACCCCGATTATGAGATGACTGCGAGGTGAATGCTATCTTGCGTGCTGCTTTACTTGTAGAACTCAGTCTAACTTGTGTGTACCTTTGGTAAAGAATATTTCAAGTCAGTCAAGTTAGGGGAGTTAATCCTAGGTAAATGCTTCTTCCCATGAGATTCTGAGCCAACACAGGTATTCAGACCAATGCAAGAAGCATTTATAGAGAGCCTACTCCTTGTCTGGCACTGGGGTCACAAATACTGGATTTAGATCCAGTTTTAGACTCTGTGGGATTGGCTAAGGTAAGAACCATACAAGGACTCCAAGACAAATATTAAAGTAGATTTAAATTCTCAGTGTTTCTCCAGCAGAAAACACAGGTGCAAATTGGAACAGATTCTCTCGTGACTGATCTGGTCTAGAATTATACCTTAAGGCAGTGATTTTTAAACATGCAATACCTGACTATTTAGTCAGGGGCACTGACCTCTTTTCCCTTAGATTGCCAAATTAAAAACACGACAACAGCCAACACAACAATAGCCGTTTGGTGTGAATGAATAAAAAAATTATATCTATTTTTTGTCAGATTGGCAAAAAATATATTTTTTGCTGTGCTGTAAAATTTTAGTAATTAGTTTATGTGTGCTATGAGATGAAAAAGGTTGAAAATTGCTGCCTTAAGAAGTAGAAGAGCAAGGCAATTCACCTGGGCATTTTCTGAAGGATTTTTAGCTATACGTACTTGCGGGACAGAGGAGGTCAGCATACAAAGTTTAAAGAAGGTATACTGTATACTATCAAAATCAATCTAGGGTGTAGCTGTGCTGCAACCAAGCTTAATTTTCCTTTAGAATGCAGGAATTCTATACAAAGAAAAAAGTTACAATCAGCCTTAAAGATAGTATAGATTAATGAGGGGCTTATTAATAAATACCAGAAACAAAGGAAACCAACCACATTTTAACTAACACGGTCCCTACAATGTGCAGTAGTGAACTGCACGTGCTATGCTCTACACCACTTCATTTTCTCAAATTTAACCTTCAGTGAACAACATAGCAGAGATAATAAAAACACTAACCAAGAAGAGGTTTACCTTTAAAGATACATAGTAACTCAAAAGAAGGAAGAAAACAACTGCAACATAATAAATCCATTATTTTAAAATAACTAGAAAGTTATATTTAACATGATACTATGTAAAACCAAGCAATTTTTTATAAATTTCTAATATTTTCACCGTATTTTCTCAAAAGTTTATTTATTTATTTGTATTTAATGATCATTTAAAAAAATTATAAATTGATACTCTTAAATTTTCGATTTAAAGCTTTACTTTTGGAGCAGTGGTTCCTGAACCAAGTTTTAAAAATGTAATATTGAAAGTCCAGTCTGCAAGCTGCTATTTCCAACATTTTTCTTTTTAAAAAATATATCTTAAAAAATGTTTTTATTTGAGAGAGAGAAGGGAAAGGGATAGAGAGATAGAAACATCAATCAGCTGCTTCCTGCACGCCCTTTACTGGGGATGGAGCCCGAAACCTGGGCATGTTCCCTGACCAGGAATTGAACCAATGATCTCTAGGTTCATGGGTCTAAGCTAAAGTACTGAGACACACCAGCCAGGCAACATTTCTAATTTCTTAATGGAAACATCAAGAACATATTTACCCACTTAAGATATCAGAAATCAACTAAAACCTTAAATTTATTTGTCTAGAGTTATAGCAACCAGTGATTATCCTTTGTTTACTAGGACCTCAAATGGTCAATACACTATGATTTTGATTAAAGAAAGAAAATAAGAAGTATGTGATGATGAAAAATTTAGGAGTGCTTAATGTCAGACTAAACCATATGGTTCTATAACTAAAAAGATGATACTATCTTCTCCTAAATTACAGAACCAAAAATTGAATTTCTCCACTCAGTGTTTCTCTCCCTTGCCTTAAGATTTTTGGCTAATATTCCCCAAAGGAAGAAAAATAAAAAATTAATCATCAGACATCATACCTGGTATTAAGCTGTTTTACTGAGTCTGCTCATGCTTCTCTAGACTTGAATGTAAACTTAACTTCATTAGTTTTATCTTGCTAAAATGTTTCTTTTAGGTATTTAACGCACTGTATTATTTTAAAATCAAAAGACGTATGGATATATACTAGAGTTATGCTTTCTGTTAGTGCATTTGTAAGCCAAGTGATTTTTATTTACCTTAGTGGTGACACAAATTACTTACAAAAATAACTTTAAGAAACCATTGAAGAGAGTAAAGCCTAATTTAAACACCAATTTAGAAGAATTTAAGATGTGCCAAAATCTGAAGAACTGTAGCCCTTATGTAAATTTAGGCAGAGTGACAAACTCTTCAATTAAAAAAATTAGTTTAGCTATTGTTTTTAATAGAATAGGGTCTTTAAATGTATATACAAAAATAACTGCAGTCACTTATTTAAGAGAAGATATTTATTTTTTACAGGATTGACCCAGGTACCTGCCCTTGGCCCAGAATGGACCCCCCCCCTGCGGTGCGCAGGCCAACGCTCCAGCCACTGAGACGCGCTGGCCCGGGCTAAGCAGCCTTTTGAATGGAGATTTTATTTTTTAAAAAGGTTTGCATTTTGTACTTATTCAGATAGGTTAAAAGCCCTGAATGCACAAGTAGGTTGCAGTTTGGGATCACAGAAGCTGCTCCTTATGGTGCAGTCATCTCCACTTCAATTAAAAAAAAATATTAAAATGCATGACCAATGAGAACTGTTCATATTAAATGCCTGCTTCACCCAGGCAGCTCAATCAACCTCCTACAGAAATGCATTACGTTTCGGGTCAATTCATACAGATTTACAGGAAAAGAAAACCTGATAAAACCTAAATGCTCTATTTCCACGATCTCCTCATGAGATTAGGGCAACTATCGGCTGAAATGATTGTTTTTGTAGATCTTATTACGGTCACAGTAACTTACAATTTTAAAACAAGACATTTGCAATTTACTCTCACAAATTGTGAATTACCACGGGGATTAACACATAGAAGAGTGAGCTATAATCCCCCAAAGAAAACAACTCATCTGAACTGAGCTATAGAAGAATCTTTAACTTTTAGGATATCCTCAAAGGATATCTAATATTTTAGAATTCTAATTTTACACCTTGGTCGACAGCAGGCAGATTTTAAATCCATTTTACGTACCTAATAAAAATCAACCTCAGCTGGTGGACCTAAAAAATAGCCTGTAGCTGCAAATACTAAGATGTGCTTTTTAAAAACCTGCTCAAGAGTGCAAGAGATTGGTCATTAAAATCCACTAACCTATTTGTGTACAGTCACTGCCTTGGAGGTGACTGCGGCACCCTAAAATGTGGCGGTAGGGTCCTTACTTAGCTATTTAAATCTTGTTTACAGAACCAACAAGAACATTCGCAAGAGGACTTCCTGCCTTCCTGCTCAACACTGCAGCGGAAAAGACACCACTTCCACGCGGCTAACGTCGCGGTCCCTGAGACCCGCCGCGGCTGCGGGTTTCGGCCACAAAGAACTGGGGT